ACAGCCCAAACCAACTTTGCAACTTACCACATTAACCGGCAACGCCACACCAGAAGTCCTTTGACAAACTAGATTTTTGCTTATGAAAGCAGTGACTCAGAATTCCAACCAGAATGGAAGGATTCTTCATATCAAGCTTGTTTCCTCAGTGTACTGGGTTTGATAAAGATGAGAAATTTAGACATTGGCATAAAAAATGGGGGAGGGGCTGTAAAGGCATGACGTGACTGGTTTACAAGCTTTCATGAGTGTGCTTAATTTCAGAATGAGATGGGTTAAGGTAGAACTCCCACTGAATAGATTCCCTCTTTTTCAGATGGATCTGGTGAAAGGGTATGGGGTTGACAGTGGTAGGATTTCATGACTTAATTGTGAGTAATTGTTAGCAGGATTCATTGGGATCGTCACTATTGTAGTTGTAGAAGATGTGTAACTAAAAGAAGGGCATAAATTAATCTTTCATTTCAGGAACAGACAATCCCAGGACCATCAAGTAGAAAGAACATGAAAATGTAGCAGCTGAGACGGTGGCAGAGGTGGTGTCATGGAGAGACAGAGCAGTTGTGGGCTCTAGGCCCCTTGACTGAGAAAGGCTGTGTGCCGGTGGGCAGGAGACTGGCTGGCAGAATGCCCTGTGGACATTTAGATGGATATATATTTTTTGTTTTGTAAGTGTACATCAAATCTTTTTGCTTTGTTCATTGGTGACATATAAGATGTGAATGGAGGGCCACAGGGAAGAAACAGGGTAACTTTTGTTGTAAGGAGGGGATTGTAATCACTGAGATGAAACAAAGTGGATACAAAACTGGTGATCTTGTATGTAAATCTTCACCCAATTCACAATAAATAGTTAAAAAAGCAAAACTAAACACAAAAAAACAAGTCTCCAGAAATTGACAGAATGCAAATCGAAATGTTTCAGCAAACAGATAGAACTCATTTATGCCAAGAAATTTGGAAGAAAACTGCCTGGTCAATCAGTTGGAAGAGATTCATATTTTGTGCCCCTTCCAAAGAAAGGTGACCCAATGGAATGTATAAATCATTTAACAATACCATTAATATCGCACAAGTAAATTTTTGCTGATGGTAATTCAAACATGATTGCAAAAGTACATCGACAGGGAGCTGCCAGAAATTCAAGCAGATTCAGGCGAGGATGTTGAACAAGGGATATCATTGCTGATGTCAGATGGATCTTGGCTGAACAACAGAGAATACCAAAAAGAGATTTACTACTGCTTTATTGACTATGCAAAAGCATTCAACTGTGTGGATCATAACTAACTATGGATTACATTGCAAAGAATGGGTATTCCAGAACAATTGTGCTCATGAGGAACCTGTACATACACCATGAGCAAGTCATTCTAATAGAACAAGGGGATACTGAATGATTTAATATCAGAAAAGGTGTACGTCAGGATTGTATTCTTTTATAATACTTATTCAATCTATATGATGAACAAATAACCAGAGAAGCTGGGTTATATGAAAAAGAACATGGCATTAGGATTGGAGGAAGACTCATGAACAATCTGGGAAAAGCAGATGACTTTGCTTTCTGAAAGCAAAGAAAACTCGAAGTGCTTACTGATGAACATCAAACATTAAAGGCTTCTGTATGGATTGCACCTCAATGTAAAGAAAATCTTCATAACTGGACTGATAACTGACATCATGATAAACAAAGAAAAGATTGATGTTAACAAAGATTTCATTTTACTTGAATCCATAATCAATACTCATGGAATCAGCTGATTTATTGGACTCCTGGCATAATGCTCTAGGATCAGCACTGGACTTTGAAATATAAGGTTGGCAGTTCAAACCCACCAGTCTCTCTTCAGAAACCCCATACAGAGTTGCTATGACTCAGTGGCAATTAACAGCATACTGTTGTTACGGCAGAGTTGCCTAATGCACTGTTGTTGTTAGTTGCCACTGAGTCCCTTCCAGCTCATGGCAACCCCACATGAGCAGAGTAGAATTGTTGTATTCTGTAGTATTTTCAGAAGCAGACTGCTGGGTCTTTCTTCTGTGGAATCTGGTGGATTTGAACCACTAACCTTTCAGCTATTAGTGGAATGCTTAACCATTTGCAGCACCCAGGGACTCCTACATTCATATTTACATAAGTAAAAATTAGCTAAGCTATTAAAAACCTCAAGAAGACTTCCAGAAAGATGGCCAACTAGGCAGACATGTTACACTGACCCTCTACAACAAAGATTGTTACTGTTGTTGTTAAGAGCCAGAAGTCAGTTACGACTCATAGCTACCCTATGTAGTAGGGTTTCCGAGGAGTGGCTGGTGACAACAAAGATACAAGAGACCTAATGAAACAGATGCAGATGAAAATCCTGCAACTCTGAACTTCAGAGGAAATGTTAGAAACGTGGATTGAGTGCTTGCAGAAGGAGAAGCTGGGCAGGGGAGTCAATAGAGGACTGGAAAACAGCCAGCCAGACGCGGCAGGACCATCTTGAACCTTTGTGAGCAGCTTTGGGGACAGAAGGTGGCCTGGCAGAGCAGATTCACAGTAAAGGTACGATTCCTTCTTTTTCCTCATATTCCCCTGGTGACCAGGGGTATGGCAAGTTCCCACCCTCGCCCACCCCCATCTCAGACCTGCTCTCGAGAAGTTCTGTGGGGTGTGTCCTTTGGTTATTTGATGATGCATGGAAGGGATTGTAATCATTGCAATGAAACGAAATAGGACAGGATGAGTGTAAAGCTGAAGTTCTCCCATGCACACCTCACAATAAAAACTTTAAAACTAAATAAATAAAATGATTGGGCAAATAGGGCAGAGGTCAGTACACAGGGCTTTTGCGTCCTTTCATCCCACAGCTATGCGATCGGCCTGAGGATCTGGCCTCAGGAAACCTGGTGTTCCTTTTCTCGCGGGGAGGCAGTGGTGGCGGCCAACGGAGGCGGGACGTGCCCTGAGCCCCGCCCCGAGGAGGCGGTGCCCGACGATTCCCGGCTGGGCGCGGAGAAGGCGCTGCTCCGGCAGCACGTAGCACCTCGGGAGCCAGAGCCAGGTGAGCGCAACCCCAGGGCACGCACGGCTGGGGATTCCGGTATCAGGGGGTGAAGAGAGAAACTGCCCAGGGTCGGGGTGGAGGACGCGCTTCTTCCCCTCCCCCCCACACTACCGGCGCGCCCTGCCCTTTCACCCGCTTCTCTCCCCACACCCCACTCTGAGATCCCTGTCAACCTGGATTGGGGTTCTGGCCCAACTGTTTACTATGATACTAAAAAGTTGCCGAATGATCTCTGGGCCACCGTTTCCACCTTTAGATGGAGAATTAAACCTGGCCATATACCGGTTACTTGACACAAAGCTCCCCGGGTCTTGTAACAGCTCCGAGTGGTTTTATTCATTCAGCAGATAGTTACTGGCCGCCTGCTTTGTGTCAGGCACTGTTCTAGGTGCTGCTGAACGAAGTCTTCATGAAGTTTGTATTCTAGTGGTTTGCATAGGGTTTGGGCATGGGTCTTGTAGAGAGAGCAGCTAGGGTTATTTGGAGTCATTTTACAGATGTGAATATTGAGGTGTGGTGAGGTTTTGAGGTAGCAAGCGGATACCCAAGACCAACTTCCAGCCTTAGTCACATAAAGCATCCCGTTAGAGGAGAAAGTCAAGTCCAATCTGTCAAGACACTTCCATAGAACAGTTTTGGGCTTGGAGTGGAAAGGGTCCGGGCTGCACCCTCTCCGCACCTTAGGAGGGAACTAGACCTAACCCCCTGTGATGGATGTCTCTTATTTAGGGCATCATTCCTATGACTCCCATAAGTCCCAGGGCTCGTTTGGAGTGTGATTGTACCCCTCAACCCAGGACTCTGGAAAGGAGGATGGTGAGAGATGAGAATTTTAAAAGGTAGTCTCAGCAGTTGAAAGTCGCTTCTCCCCCCTGCCCCCCCAGGAGTTGGATGTGGTAGTCTAGAGTAAAGCTTTACAGCCTTGGAAACCCACTGGGGGCAGCTCTATCCTGTCCTATAAGGTTACTATGGGTAGGAATAGAGGTTTTTGTTTGGTTTATAGCTGTCGAGTCCCTGTCCTTCGGCCATCACCAGCAACAACCCTGGGGATCATGACTTTGTCATTTGATCACCCATCAAGCGCCTGTTCTTTGATACAGGCAATATTAGTAAGCATCTGGTATGTGCCATACCGGGCATGGGCTGACCCATCTCTGTATCCATAGAGCCTGGTGCACAGTAGGCCCTCAGCACAGTGATGGTGATGATGATGATAATGACCTAGCCCCTGGTCCAGCCTCATCCTTAGATGGTGATGACACCCTGACTTACTTTACATTTCAAGTAAGGAGGACAGAATTCGCAGTAGGTTGGGCCCCAAGGCCACAGAGCTGACCCTAAAGTCACCGGAGCCCTAGCACTGCTGGGCACCTGGGAGAGACAGAGGCAGCAGGTGTTAGCAAGGGGCAGAGGCAGCTCTTGAAATCATTCACAAGGCCCAGGAAGCAGAGTCCTATGGGACCCTCCATACTCCTTTTGTTCCTCCTTCTCCTCCAGAATGTCACAGCTACCACCTTAATCAGAAAACACCCACCTCCCAGTCCGGTGAGATTCCCTCAGCATGATTTGATCTGCCTTCCTGTGGTCCCACATGGGAACTAGGAGTTTCAAAGAACTGGTAGGGAGTTCAAGAATTCTTGGTGTGTATTTCAGCCATGCTGTGTGACTTTGGGCCTCAGTTTCCCCAACTGTAAAGTCTAGAGCTTGGTTGTCTTGTCTCTGGCTTTGACTCTATCTGACAGAAACCACACAGCCATCTTGGAAGTTCTCAAGATTCTGAAAGGGACAAGTTCACTGGGAACTTGGAGGGACTTTAATTGCTACCCTCAGTTTCCCTCAGCCCCTAGGAGTCTGATTACCCACATGACTTGAGACTGCTTTAGAACATTCTTTCTTCTATTTTGCCCCACAGGTGGACAGATCCAGGGTCCTCAGGAGCAGCAGAAGATGAAGGCCACCCTAATAGGCTCTGCCCCAGAGGCTTGCAAAGCCACTGACCAGGGCGAGAAGAGCTGCCCCATCTGCCAAGCCTGGGGTGGGATCTCAGGCCCAGGGTCTGATTTAGGGTCTGGATCAGGACCCAAAATGGGGACTGTTACAATGCCAGGTTCTGAACAGGGGCCCGGTGCTATTCCAGGGCCTGCATCAGGACCTGGTTCAGTACCTGGGTCTAGGTCAGGGCCTGGTACAGTTCTGAGGCCTGATTTGATGCCAAAGTCTGGGTTGGGGCCTAGTGTTGTCTCAGGGCCTAGGGTAGGACCTGGCGCTGTCCCAGGGTCTGGGTCGGGGCCTGGTACAGCACCAGGACCTGGGTCCAGGCTTGGTGTAATGCTGGGGCCTGGACCTAGACCTGGTATTCTTCCAAAACCTGAACCAGGTGCTGGTATAGTTCTGGAGCCTGGGCCAGGGCTAGGGTCCAAACAGGAATCCAGGGCTGGGCCCAAATCCAGTGAGCCAAACCCAGTCACAACCCCAGCACCAGCACTGCAGCAGAAGACTCAGGCCATGCCCGCCCGGGCTCCTAGGCAGAAGGTCCTGGTGACTGGAGGAGGAGGCTACCTGGGGTTCAGCCTGGGTTCCCACCTGGCCAAGAGTGGCACCTCTGTCATCCTGCTCGATCTCCGCAGACCCCAGTGGGAGCTGGCACCAGGGACCGAGTTCATCCAGGTTTAGGGATGGGGGATTTGGGGGACTGGGGGGGAGAGGAGAATAGTGTTTGAGGTCAAATCAGTAGTATGTGTTTAAAAGCACAAGCTCTGGAGTCAGAATGCTGGGCTCAAACTCTAGCTCCCATACTTCCCAGCTGTGCAGCTGTGGCTCTAGGCTCCCCATCTCAGAGTCCCAGTGACCTCACCCAAAGAAAGAGGACAATAATAAACTAGTATCTGCTTCAACAAGCTTGATAAGTGGTGGGCAATGATGATGATGATGGTATATAGAATCCTATAGTCCACGAACCTTTCTTGACCCTATGGATACTTAGGACTTCTGGTGTGGCGTTGCCGGTTAATGCAGTAAACTGCAATGTCGGTTTGGGCCTTTAAGGTCAGCAATTCTAACTCACCAGCTGCTCCTTGGAAACCCTGTACAGGGTCCCTATGAGTCGGATCCCGACTCAATGGCACTTAGCAACAAGCAATGGCTACTTAGTCTGGAAGAGGGCAGGGCTCAGTTCTGGGAAGTGGCTAAATGCAGGGTTAGTATCTCTGTCTTGAACTTGAGCATCCTGCCCCATCTTTTCCTTGTCTGTTGCAGGCTGATGTCCGAAATGCAGAAGCCCTCTACCGTGCATTCAAAGGGGTGGACTGTGTCTTCCACGTAGCCTCCTATGGAATGTCTGGTGCTGAGAAGGTAAGCCCGTCACACACAACACATGGAGTTAGACAGAGTGGGGTTCAGAACTTGACTATTCCTGTTAGTCCTTTTTACCTATTCGGGAAGGATTTCAGCTACTACCAGCCTACATTTGTGTGCGTGAAATCAAATACCAGTCGCGCCACTTTCTAGTTGTGTCACCTAAGGCAAGTAAACATAATCTCTCAGAACTTCCGTTTCCTCATCTGAAAAGGCTATAATGAATACCTGTCTCACAGCCTGTTCCTAGGGCAGCGGGACTATCTTCCCAATGTTTAAAATACACATGCCCTATAACCAGAAATTGTACATGTTGGTTTATTTGCAGCATTGTAGTTTTTGTTTTTACTAAAAGGACAATAAAAAGTTATATTTTTATTTTTATTTTACTCATTTCTTCTTTTATGTTTCTTTGTATAATCTACATCTTTCTCTTTTTGAAGAACTACTTTTGACATCTGTTTTTAAATCCTATTTTATGCGTTTGGGGTGAAGATTTTACACAGCAGTTTAAGTTCCCATTCAATAATTCCTTCAAAAGTTATTCAATGACCCTGGCCACATTCTTCACAATGCATGGGCGTTCTCATTACTTACATTCTGTTTGTCCTGCAACACTGTCTTTAGTAGCAAAATGCAGGTAATAGTCAATATACCCATAAACTGGGGAGTATTTACTTATGAAACTTTTTATTGTGAATTGAGTGAAGGTTTACAGAGCAGACCATCAGTTTTGCATTCAATAAATCACACATTTTATTTCATCTCAATGATTACAATCCCCTCCCTGCAACAACAGTCATCCTGCTTCCTCCCTGTGCTTCCTATTTGCATTCCACCCTCCTTCCCAGCCCTTCTCAACCTTGTCCTTAGGGAAATGTTGCCCCTTTGATCTTGAATGATTGACCATTCCTTGGGGAGCAGACCTTACTAGTGTTGTTTCCCCCCCATATACCAATCTACTGCTTGACTGAAAATTGGGCCACGAGAGTGAGTTCCTTTCTAGACCTGAAGGGGGGTCAAGGGTCATGGTCTCAGGTTTCTCCAGTCTTTTTCTAACCAGCAATTCATGGGGTTTTTTTTTACTTTTGTCGCATATTTTCTGCCTCTCTTTCGGGGACCTTCTAATGTGCTCCCTTTCAGAGCAGGTGGTAGTGGTAACTGGGCATTTTCTAGTTCTACTGCTCTGAGTCATGGAGACTGATGTTCACATGTTCCATTAGTTCATTGAACTCATTGATTCCTAGCCTCTTCAATTCAATAGCTGCACCTTAGATGGCCAATTTGAAGATCCCAGATTCTCCCCACCAAATAGGATGTAAAGAATTATCTTTGTAGACTATGTTATGCCAACTGATTATGGTGTCCACTGAGACTATGGTCCTGAACCTAGCTGGGGAGCATTTAAATGAATTATGCCGTATCCACGCAATGAAATTCTAGGCAGTCATTCAGAAGAGTGAGGTAACTCAAAACATGCTGATATGGACAATTTCCAAGGTGTTGAACAGTGTTTGGTCTCTTCCTGTTTGTTTAAAAAAGAGCTCATGTGAATGTCTGCTGATAAACTCACACATGCACATGTGTTGATATTAATAAGCGTTGGTGATTTTGCCAAGGAAACCCAAGTTACTGGTAACTGGCTGCCTCCCGAAAGGGAAAGGAATACTTGGGATCAGGAATAGAAGGAAAACGTGCTTTTCGCTGTACCCCCTTTTCACTGTTTGAATTATCTTTAATCCAGTGATTGTATTACCTATTAAAAACAGCCACAACTAGAACAAATATAATTTCATGATAAATATACCTCTCAGGGCTGGTATAAGCTTTAAACGAGATGGAGAGGTTAAAGCTCAGCTCAGCTCCGGGCACATGGGAAACACTTGCTGAAGACCAGTTTCTTTTCATACCCCAAGCCTCTCACTAAGGCCAAAAAAGTATTACTATGCCCATCTTACAGATGAGAAAACTGAGACTTGGAGAACAATTCAAGCACATACCAGATCCTCTCCCTGTGGCATTTAAAATCCTACCTACTATCCAAGGTTTACTTGTAAAATGAGGATGCTGAGGGTCAGATGTGGGCTATAATCCCTCCTGGTCATCCAGCTGAACACGCTGCCCTGTGGCCCTCTGAGCCGGGTGTTCCCGACTATCCTGCCATCCCACCCCAACCCCAACTTCAGCCACGTGGCATGAAGCTCCACTGTGACTTGCCCACTGCTGTCTTGTCTTTTAGCTGCAAAAAGAGCAGATTGAGTCTATAAATGTCGGAGGCACCAAACTAGTGATTGATGGTAGGCGCTCAGAGCGGAGGTGTGGCCTGCTGTGTGTCTCTCTCTCTCCTGCTCCTGCCACAAACCCTCTCCCTCACTCCTGCCACCCCAGGGGAGGACCTAAGGACCAGTACATCCTTCCCAAACTGCAGACCTGCCCAGAGCCCTGCAGAGTCGGTCAGCATAGCCACGACATGATGGTGATGTGAGGGCAGAGGGTTGGGAATAAGAACTGAAGGGTCCAAAGGAAGACCATGTCTAGGTTCTCTGGGCTCGTCCTGCCTTGTCCTGCCTTCTGCTTTTCTCTCTGATTCTAGAGTGTCTTTTTGCTCTGTCCACATGGAATGAGACTTTCTTCTGCTGTGTCCTTGGCAAGGTAGCTCAGAGGCCACAGCCACACTTAGAAGGAAGAGTGAGCAGGCCTGGCCCCTAGGGCCCAAGGAGCAGGGTCACGACCCAAACTCCAAGTTAAAGCAGAGAGGTCCTTCTGTCTTTGGGCAGTTCTGGGTTCTGGGCATCCCAAGAGCTGGGATTGTGTTGGAGACTGGATTGAGTTGGGTGGATTCACCTAAGAGAGAGGCTTCCCAGGCACTCCTGACTCCACTGGCTGCTTACGCTCAGTCCTGTGTATGTTTGTTTGTGTGTGTGCACCTGCCACTGCAGTCTGCATCCACCAGCGCATTCCCAGGCTCGTCTACACCAGTACTGTCAATGTGGCGTTTAGCGGAGAGCCCATAGAGCAAGGGAATGAGGACTCTCTGCCGTTCTTCCCGCTGGAGAAGGTACTGGCTTCCAGAGGTGGTGGGTGGGCCAACCCAAAGCCCGAAGGGTAGAGACAAGTGGAACCAGGGGAGATATAGTCAACCTCACAGCTCAGGGAGAGAGGGTCCCCAACACTGGGTGGCATGAGCCATCTCCTGGTTTAGCTAGTGTCTCAGCAGGAACTCTGGAATCAACCAGGTCACCTTCTAACTTTGTGACCCTGAACAAATCACTTAACCAACCACTCTGAACTTTTTCTTCATCTGGACATGAGAACATCTCTCTCAGATTATCAGGAATAGGCAATGAGGTCATGTAGGTGAAATGCTATATGAACATTAAGGACTGCAAAGCAATATTTGGTCCGACATATGTCCAGCGCCACTGCTGCTGGGCATGTGTTTGGGGCCGGCAGGAGCCTCCATATGTGAAGGCTCTGATCCCAGTGTTCCTCTACTCCAGGGCTCAGAAAGAGAGGAAGGTTCCAGAGCTCAGGGCTTGGTGATATCCCTCTGGGATGCCCCAAAATCCAATGCTGGTGTGCTCTGAAACAAAGATGCAACTTGGGGCTAGGCCAGACCCCAGTGACCTCTCTCCAGTGACTCTGTTCCCCTGTCCACCTGACAGCACATGGACCACTATTCCCGAACTAAAGCCATCGCTGACCAGTTGACCCTGATGGCCAATGGGACACCTCTTCCAGGTGAGTATTATGGGGCCATGTTCCTGCCAAATGCACATGGTGGTGGTGGTGTTAGTGCCATTGAGTCATTTCTAACTCACAGTGATCCTGTATAGGATTTCCAAGAAGTGGCTGGTGAGTTTGAACCGCCAACCTCATGGTTCAAACCGATCTCATGATCCAAAGCTTATCTGCCACAGCACAACTCCCATGCCTTTCTCTGTTTCTGTATGTGACCCAAGCTTGTAGCCCATCCATTCTAAGGCCCACCTTTCTGTCAAAGGACAGTTCACCATGACCTGGACCATTCATCAATGAACAAACACTGAGCCCCTGAAATATGCCAGCCACCTGCCAGAGATACAACAAGGATGAAGTCAGACCCAGTGGGGAAGAGGCTGGCCAGGAATGACAATGTGATTAGGTGGGTGCAGGGCTGTGGGAGTCCCTGCACGGACATGAAGAATGGAAAGCTTCTGTCTGTTCCAGGTGGAGGAAAGGAGGCATGGTAGCAGACACTGTGTGTGCAAAGGCCCAGGGGCAGCAGGGTGAACGAGCCAGCATCAGTGAGAAGGAAGGAGCTCTGGGAGCCTGGGGTGTGAGCCAACTCATGAAGTGCGGGCTTTAGGGGAAGCCACTGGTGTGGCGCTGTGGGCTAATGCGTCAGGCTGTGAAGTCATTTGAACTGCAAGGTCAGTGGTTCAAGCTCACCATCTGCTCCTTGGAAACCTTATACAGGGTCGCTATGGGTCAGAACCAACTCGACGGCACTTAACAACAACAACAACTGAAAGTTGACTTTAAACAAGAGGATGACATGGGGAGACAGACGTGTGTTTTAGACAGATCCCTCTGGCCACCATGCAAGGGGAGGATTGGAGGGGCGAGAGCAGAGGCAGGGGACAAGTGAGGGGCTGTTGCTGGCACCCAGGCCAGAGAGGGCCACTGCCTTGGACTGTTGGTGGCAGTGGGGACAGAAAGAGGGGATGGATTCAGGAGGCATTTTGGAGACTAAATTGACGAGAGTTTCGGGACCAGACTGGTGAGGACCTATCTCAACATTCGTGTCTGAGAGCATGAGGGTGGAGGTGTTTCCAGTGGTGTTGCTCACCCCTTCTAGTAGCAAGCAAGTACTGATAGGAGTGGGAACCCCAAATCCACTGCCACTGAGCAAATTCTGAGCCAGCGACCCTATAGGACAGGGTAGAGTTGCCCCATAGGGTTTCTGAGGCGATAAATCTCTAGGCCAGCAGATTGTTGACATCTTCCACAAAGTAGCTGGTAGATTCAAACTACTGACCTTTGGTTAACAGCCTGATGCTTAAGCCACCGCACCACCATGACTCCTTTGTTTTCTGCCACACAGGAATGAATCCAATTTTAGGGGCCCTCTTTATCTATAGGAGTCCTGGCATGGCACTGTAAGATAAGCATTGGACTACTAACCACAAGCTTGGCAATACCAACCCACCAGCCGCTCCTTGGAAACCCTGTACAGGGTTGCTATGAGCAGGAACTGACTTGATGAGTAGTCAGGGTCAACCCCACAGCACTGGGTTTGGCTCTTGTTCTTTATGCTATGAATTTAGGAACCGTGAATGTAGAATAAGGTTTCGTTCTTCTTGCTGTTCTTTTTTGTTTTTTTAATGTTTTATTGTGAATTATGTGATTGTTTACATGGGAGAACATCAGTCTTACATTCATTCTATCGTATATATCGTCTCATTGCCATGGTTACAATCCCCTCCATGCAATCGTTCCCCCATATCCCCCAGGTCTTCAGCACACAGTCACTCTCCCTCTCTGGATCTAAAGTCTCCAGCTGCTCCATCGCTCCACGTCATCATCTCTGGCTCCATTTCAGGCATCACTGCTTCTCTGGGTAGGGTCCC